CTCCATAGGCTCACAGAAATTTCTCGTTATTAATGAGGCTCATCACATGAATATATTTAACTTTTCTTTGACCACTAAGTATAAATACCTTTCTGTAAACATAGATTAAAAGCTCTGTAAAAGCCCTGTTTCTAAAATCAGACTTAGTAAGCATTCAGTTTTGACCATAAGCACATTATTTAACATTTTTTCACCTTGGTTTTCACAAGGGTGATAACAGAACCTACTTTTATAGTGTTATTATGATAAAATGAGTATCTGTAAAGGATTTAGAATAGTACCTGTGACATAAAGAAAACTAAATAAACACTGTACATATGAACAAGATCTCCAGGTGACTACTACTCACTCAACATTTTGAACATCACTGTCACAAAATCTTAGGTCCTCAAGAGCTAGCCAGGTTCACTCATCTCATGTATCCTTGTGTTTAGTGAAGGATTGCAAGGAAAACAATGACAATACAGGACACATAATTTATAGTATTATTTATCATGGTCACCCAAGGAGTCAAATACAAAGAAAGTGCAGGAAATCTGTTCACACTAAAGACCTAAAAAATCCAGCCAAGGGCCTGGATCCCGTGGCAATAACCTGAATGAGTTCAGCTAAAAACCTAGAGCCCATGACAGTGCCCCCATGTGTCTAACTGGAGGCCTAGAGCCCAAGACAATGACTCATGCAAGTCTGTTTCACAGATCTATGCTGGGAAGGCCCAAAGATCAGCAGTGGAAGCTAGAAAGTCTGTGCCTATGGGTGGAATCTGTGCCAGCAGGTTGAGGGTTCCGCACTGGAGCCAAGAAGTGACAGTCAAAATAAGGGCCAGAGCTCCCCTCAAAAGTACCACAGCCATCCTCAGTGACAGTGAGGTCCTAAGCTCCTTTGACAAGCAAACAGCCAACTTCTTATCAGGAAGCCAGTGTAACAAGCTTCTCCTGGAAATTTAATTTAATGTGTGCATCTTGCCCTCTGCAGCCAGGAGGCGATGCTCAAAGTAAGGACCAGAGCTCCCCCAAAGTGAACCACATTCTCAGCAACAAGGTCCTGAGCTCCTCTGCTATGATAACAGCAGAGTTTAGATCTGGAAAGCCAGCATGACAAGCTCCTCCAGGAGAACCAACAGCTCCAAAAGAACCAACAGCACTAAACAACACTTATTAAGAGAACCCACAACACTACTCTTCCTCTCATTTTTAGACTGGCAATTTTCCTCAGATGGGCCATCTACGCTTAGCATGAGGCTGACTCAATTCAGCAGGTGTTGAAGTTGGCCACGTTTTTAATGTACCACACCCCGTCTCTTGATACACATTTGGCACCCAAGCCTATAACTGCTGAATGATGCCTATGTTAGAAAGCAAGTTTACCCCAATTGGGGAAGCATTTTCAGCTAAAAATAAAAAATATCCCTTTCTCCAAGTTAAGCTACTTCTGCAGTGTGTGACACTAGTTGTATATATTGAAAGGAAAAAGTAACAGGATCTGCTTAAGGCCCCACCATTTCTCCTCACATTCCTATGGGCCAGAAAATTGTCTTGTGTCCGAATTCCTCAGACTTGTGTGAGACATCCTGAATTAGAAACTAGCAGCTCCCTACATTCTGCAGTTATTTTCTTGTTAATAATAGTTCTTTAATTGCATAATAAATAATTTCATCCTCTCTCTTGGCTCAGGAATGTGAAATACAGTAAGACCTGAAAGTGATTTTCTCTAATAAATGTTCTTCATATGCTGAAATAATAACCAGTCAAAGATTAATAGCTTCTTTCACCCAAGGCACTTACAATTCAAGAGAACATAAATCAAGATCAAGCCCATCACGATATGTAATCCATTATACTCAGAATTTTTGTATGCTATGAAATGGTGGTTAAATCAGCAGCTGTAATTTCTATCTCCCTCAACAAACACAGATCTTAGGAGCTGGGGATGTAGTGCAATAGTAAAGCATTTACTGTATTTGTGAGGCCCTATGTTTGATTACCAGGAAAACACACACACACACACAGAGAGAGAGAGAGAGAGAGAGAGAGAGAGAGAGAGAGAGAGAGAGAGAGAGAGACATCAAAATGTAGGTCCCAGTAAAATAATGACATTCATTTGAAAATGTCACATGAAATATGAAATTTTCATTTAATTGATGGCATACAGAATCAATATCTTATTCAAAGCAGAAAATTTTTCATCTTTAATTCTGAAGATCTTGGTAAGTATAATAGCATTTGGGCTAAGCTCACATTAACATTATTCAAATTAATGAAATACTAATACAACAGGACAAAATCATGCACACTAATTTAGGTAATTAACTTCTTAGGAAACTATATACCAACTACCTCCAGAATTTTTAATTTTAATCATCCCTGTATTAAAGAGAGTTAACGGTACAGTGAAAGAAGAGTTATTCTATTGTCCTTTAAAATGTCTGCTTGGTCATTGGCTTGCTTTTGGAAATTTTGATTTATATAAGGTTCAAAACTGTGACTAATATCAGTGCCTCACTGTTCCTGTTTGTATAAATAAAATTTAAGTAAACATCTAGTTTTCTGAAAGTCTACAATTTGCGTATGCACTAGCTACAATTGGCTATGTGAACAGCCCTCAAGAAAGATGCTGGATGTTGAGTCTCTAACAAATGTAGTTGGTAAATTTCAAAAATCTCAACACAATTTACAGCTTGAGGGATTAACTAATGAGTGTTCTTTGTAACCTTCTGAGAAGACTCATGAAAGCCTGGATCTGATCTCTATTTGACTTCTGAATGTGCCTTTTCCTTTTGCTGGACATGATTTGTATTCTTTCACTGTAGTAAATAATACGCATGACCATGAACAGAACTATATGCCAAGTCCTATGCCCTCTACTAATGAAACATCAAAATTGAGATTGACCTCAGTTTAAGTACCTTATATCAGTCAGTGCTTACTAGAGAAACAAACAAGAAACAAGATATACAAATATACAAGATTAGCTTACAACAGCTGTCCATAGAGGCTGGGTCTGCACACTAAGGATCCAAAGGATCCACTTGAAAGCTCCATGTAATGTCTGGGGCGAGTCTGTACCAGGAGGCTAAAGGGTCTGTCTGCACCAGAAGGCTGACAGGCTGGTCCTGGAAGCTGAAGAGTGTGCAGGAAGCCAGGACCCAAAGTCCAAAGTAAAGAAATAGACTGGAGCTCCTCCGAAGAAAACATAAACAATCTTTCTTCATTTTCTCTTTAAACCGTTATGGTGATAATCCTCCCCGGGTGGGTCTTCCACACCCAGGTCTATGCTGAGTCAATTTAACCATGTATTACTCAAGTTGACACAACCAATCAACTATCACGACCTCCAACACAATCCTCTAATCTACTTTTTAAAAAGAATCACTTAAGGATTAGTTTACATCCCAACATAAGAAATGGTATATAAAAGTGTTACTAATGAAATTTAGAGATTCCTTAATCATTGTAACTCAATAATATTTTTTTGTACCAGGGATCAAACTCACAACTTCACTCTTGCCAAGCAGGTGCTTATGCTGCTGAGCTCAATCCCTGGCAAACTCAATAATTTTTAAGTTTTAATTACTACAGCATTGTAATCAATGTTAGGAATCATTGATAAACTCTTATCTGGATAGTGTTCACAGTAATATCTGACCCACAACAGCAAATCCAAACATAGATCCATTTAGTACAGCAAAGAACTAAAAATCAGTATGTGCCCACCACTTACAACTCAGTGAACACTTATGGAGCAGGGACATGAGGATAGTATAGTACAAGTAATTCTCCCACTTGGAAAGAGAAAGTTGGGAAACCCAGCAGTTACATATCCATAGCAATGATGAATTTCTGGAGGCATGGTGAAGACATCTTGTCAAATGTATATAACTAACTCAGTTTGCTCAATATTCAAGATAGATAAACTTCCTACCCTACTATAATGTGCAAAAGAAGTTAACAGGCTGGTCAACCTATCTCCATTGTTAGTTTTTTTTACTTAGGATCTCACTCACAACTCTGCACTTTACCAGGCAGGTGCTGTATCACTAAGCTGTATCTCTGTCCCCTATCTCCATTATTATAAATTATTAAATGTTTGACTTTCCCAAAACATTTATGTCCTATGAAATTTTCACTGTATCTACCTCAAATGATTACCAAAATGTTTGGCACATAAGGAATGTTCAGTAAATATTTGATGAGTAGTATAACCATTATAGTCCAATTGGCCACTGTACTTTTGAATATAAATTAATAAATAGGAATCTTGAGGTATGTACCAGTCTTTAGCAAATTTGTCTTAGTTACTTTTCTCCTTAGAGACAAAATACCCAACACCCAAAGGTAAAGTAGGAAAAGTCTATTTGGCTTATAATGCATGGAGGTTCTAGTCTACAAGGTGGCTACAAAGCAGAGTGACACATGACAAAGGGGCACCACAGAGGAGAAATAGTTCACTGCATGCGGAAAACAGCAAAGCAATAAGGGACAACCACAGCTTTCTGTCCTGTATGGTTTTTTTTTTTTTTTTTTTTTTTTTTTGGTCTTTTTCGTTTTTACCGGTACCAGGGATTGAACTCACGACTGCCTGCTTCCAAGGCAGGCGCTTATGCCACTGAGCTAAATCCCCAGCCCCAGGGTAATCCTTAACTTCAGTGCCCTTAATCCTACCATTGCACCATGAATCAATTCCAACCTCATACTCTAAATCCAGACACCTGTGAAAAAGCCCCACTTAAGACGACATACAACTTTGGAGGGACATCCAAACACAAGCCATAACAGTGAGGATGGATTACTGGTCAAGACTACTTGGCATCCTTCAGTATCCTGACTTACATAGCCATACTGCATACACTAGGCACATAGACCCACTGGATTCTCTTAACTATAATGGTACCAACAGTTTTGATGATTGTTTTAACTTCAGAAGCACAGAACTGAATACTGGATTATTTAATCATGGACCTTAGTGTGTGGCATATTTTAATCATTGTCTAACCATAGCCCTCGTATTTTATGAATTTATTTTTAATGATGTAATAAATACCATAAAACCATCACCCAACCAAGACTTGAACATTACTAGTAACATAGCAACTATTGGCCACGGTTCTATCCTGCCCACATCTTCTGCCCACCTAATAGCATAACAGTAACCACTAGCCACAATTTTGCTTCTCATTCTCTAAGTTTGTACATTCAGACACATGTATTCAACGTGGTGTTTTAAAAAGTGATTGTACAGTACAGGCCTGACAAATACTATCTCTGGGAGGTTATCAAGGTCAGCAGTCAGGAATCATGTTGCTACTATCTGTCTTAGTCACTTCCTTGTTGCTGGTACAAAATACTCAACATTCACAATATAAAGGTGAAGTTTATTTTGGCTCACAGTTCCAGACATTTCCGTGTATGGTTGACTGGCTCCAAGGCTCTATGGGCATGGTGGAGGGGCCCAAGCAGAGAAAGCTGTCTCAGATTGCTACAGCCAGCAGAAACACCATGACACCCAGGATTTGGAGATTGATTTAACATCAGGCAGGCACTGATAGAGAATCAGTTGTCCCTCAAAATGTCAGGCTCCAAAGGCTCAGAGAGAGGTTTATGGAGGTGTAGAGGTAAAGCACTTGGCTGTCTTTGACAATTGGCTGTTCTTGCAATACACATCATAGTGACCAGCTATGCAGCACAGTGACTGGCCATTTCTAAAAAACAGAAGCAACCAGAACTGCAACAGGGACTGTCACTTGCACAACTGAAGTATACTGGCTGGGTGGGATTTTCTGCTGCAAGATGATGGCAGCTAGGAAGCAGAAAACAAAAGGAAGGACCAGGGAAACAGACTAGTCAGATCTAACCACTTCACATACATTTACATATTCATCAATGGAAGAATCTGATGAGTATAGTGCCTCCATGACCCAATCACCTTCCACATACACGAGAAGTTTGGGGGACATTTTAGGTCTAAACTACAAACCTGTAAGATCTAAACCTTGAGAGAATATAAATAAAATAGCACTTTATACCTCGTGCTCTTCCTCCCCAAACCGCACACCTCCAACCTAGATAAACAACAAATTCTAGTTGAGGGGCACCCTATTATACAACTCCCCAGTACTCATCAGACTGAGTTATCAGAAACTGAGTTATCAACAGACATTGACACAGTCAAGAGAAACTGAAGGAGATGTAACATGCCATACTAGATGGGCCTATAACAAATTTAACATATACCAATATTGGTTAATTAATTATAAAAAATACCATGATGGTAAAACATCAATACTATAATAAAGAAACTGGATTGAGGCATATAGAAATTATCTGTGTACAATCTTTCTGTAAATCTGTAAAAGATTATTTAAAAATATCAAGTTCAAAATGTTTTAAAAATTGTGAGATAATTAAGTACTCTTTTTAAAAACAGCATTAATCAGTCTTACTAATGTTGGTTTCAATCACCTTTGAAGAAACGTGACCCTTCTGCCTCTTTCCAAATAAAGCTGTTTATATTAATCTTATCATGGTAGAATATATGGAAAATAGATTTTGCTTGATGAATTCAGGGGTAACAAAAAGTTCATCATACATTTTACAACTTGAGCTTTACAAAAATTTACATTTAATCAAATGTTTAAAACGCGAGACACATTTTCCTGGTCAAATTTTCCCTTTATAAAATTACTATGTTTTTGATACATAATACATACATTTGTAGTGGGGCATTGATATAAACAGTGGTCAATTCCTTGGCCATCATAGTGAGCTGATTAAATTTTTAAAAAGCAAAAGACATTCACAATGAAAACACTGCAAAACTATATTATGAAAAATTTGGCTGTTTTAAATTCAAAACATACACACAATTTAAATTTATTTCAAACCATCGTTTTTAAGCCAGAAGCTAACTTTGGTCCTTTACATGTGCCCTTAAACCCAGAAAGACAAAGGAGAAGAACAGGGAAAGATGTTAAACTGAGGAGAGCAGAAGGTAAAAAGATCTTAAGTCTGAAAGGGAGTTTATTTCCAAAAGTAAAATGAGGCTACTATACTACAGATGAAAAAGAGATGGGAATTTTGGTTCTCCAAATTCTAGAAACAAAAACATGCCCCACTACCTACAGGGTGGGAAGAACATGTCTGCAGCAGTTAATCAACACAAATGGGCAGTCATCTCATGCTTCAAGCTGGTGAGAACTGAGTCCACAGCTGGGCAGCAGCCAATGGATTCTGACTCCATCAAAGTGTGCTACCTACCTAAAAAAGAAAGCATAATCACACAGGAAAGCAGCAGAAATACTGACAGCATTGAGGAGGGTGTAAATTTCTAATATGAAGAAATAGGAGAGAAACAGTTTCTTTGTATTATCAGTCAAATGTTAAAACTAGCTGGGTTACTATTTCTATAGCACAGCCAGGACTTAAGTTTGATACAGTATTTTGAATTTGTGTAAGAAATCCTGTTGCAAAAACACTATACATTCATTTCTTTAAAAAGAAGAAAACTGTATGACCTTTTTAAAGTTTAAAAACAAAAATTTTCGTGTATTGTCAAGCATTAAAACTGGTATTTTTTTTACTGCATTAAGAACTTCAAACTTTTGTTTCTCCTCTCCTTCCCTACTAGTGCTTACAAACTAGTGCATACTTCCTTACCTTTTATACCTATTCAAATATGTATGAGTGCATTTTTGCATCATTTTTTAAGATGCATGCATTGGAAATACTTGAGAAAAAGCTGTATGGTATACCAAAGTCTCAATGATTTCCATATTGACAGGTATCTATTTATTTGTAGTTTTTGCAACTGGAAATGCACAACAATCTCTACATATATATTGTATGCTACCCAATTTTACTTGTAACACTCAAAAACCTCATTAGTTCATAATAAATGTTGGTTTCCAGCTCATTCCAATGTTCAATGCAAGTCATGCTATTCTTGTGGCGAACTGCCTCCAACAGTAATTCAAGGACCCATCTTTTGATTATTATAGAGCTCTTCATTTCTAAAGACAGGAGAGAGCTTGGCAGATGACAAGATATGATTAATGGCTGAGGCTGGCTATGGCTTAATACATCTCTACCAAGATCTCACTGACTTGAACTGAGTCCTGTAGTTCTACTCCAACTGCAAAGACATCTGGAATTGCCTGCTTAAAAGAAATGGATAGGGGCTGGGGATTTAGCTCAGCGGCATAAGCGCCTGCCTTGCAAGCAGGCAGTCGTGAGTTCGATCCCTGGTACCGATAAAAACGAAAAAGACCAAAAAAAAAAGAAAGAAATGGATACCATTAGACAATACATGCTGTATGTCTTTACATATTCATGCTTTTATTTTGAAAAATACACTGCTGGACTAAAACTTCTAGACTATGAAATTTCAATGTCTGCAACTGCTTTGCAAAAAAACCAAAGTATTTCCTGTTTGTACCGACAGAGGAAGAATGTTTAGTAACACTCTTGCTCTTCTGAATCTCCCCTGTAGCTAAACTATGGAAATTAAATCGGCCAAATTCCTGTGCCTAGAAGTTCTAGGGTAACTTACAATAATGTGAAACACTTATGGGAGATTTAAAGGTGAAGAAAGTGAGCTGCATTTACCTCATTTAACACACTTCAGAGGCACAAGTGGCAAACATGGTATACACAGGGGCTTCCAAGTGATGTTCTGATTTGTGCTACAAATACCAGATTCACAGCAGTGGACTCCCACAATTAATAGAAGGCATTGTTAGTGTAATTTAAGAGGGCAATCATCAATCTTAAACTGATTCCAAAGGTTTGAGAAAAGCCTCTTCTTCTTTATAAGTGAATGTTAAAGTTAAATGTATAGTGACTGCAATCAAACACAATTTTTTCTGGCATATATATTTATGCATATATGACTATAAAGTTCTTTTAAAACTGGGTTATATTACGTTATTATTCTAATAAATACATAAAACTGAATTGTGGATTAACTAAGGGTCATCTTGTTAACACTCAGCTATCTCAATCAGCACAGAGCTGGGTGTGGAAGGCCATTATAAGAACTGTGGTCAATAGAGGAGAAAATGGTGTGCTGCTGATTCTCCTGGAGAAGCTTGTATTGCTAGTTTCCTGATATGAATTGAGCTATTCTATCTTGGGAGCTAGGGTGCGGTAGCAAAGCACTTCGGGGATGCTCTGCTGTTTACTTTGCAAGCAATCTTAATAGTTCCTGTTTCCACCAACAGAGTAAGAACGCTTAGCAACATTCTTGCCCTTCTAAATCTCCCCTCTCTAAATGCTACAGTATGGAAATTAGTTTAAGCACCGCTTCCTGGCTCTGATATGGATCCTCTATTCTGCTGGCAGACTCTCTATCTTCCATCACTTACCTTTGGGCCTTCCCAGTGCAAATCCTTGATGAGACATTGTCATGGGCTCTAAACCTTCAGGTGGACTTGGGGAGAACATTGTCAAAGGCTCTAGGTCTTCAGCTGGATTTATGTAGCATTTTGCTGTGAGATCCAAGCTGGTTTCTTTGGGTCTCCAGTGCATGGACAGACTTAGTCCGGCATCTTACTTTTTAGGTGAGTGATATTATAAATTATGTATCCTGTATTAAATGCATTCCCTAGAAAACCCAACTACAACAACTGTCTTCAAAATCAATCATACAGTTGAATGTTTTTTATTAAGACATAATTCACACATAAAATACACCATTTAAAGTTGTTTAGTTCAGTCATTTAGGGCACATTCACAAAATTGTGCATCAATCACTAATTCCTGCTTATCTGATTTTTAAATTATTTTTTAAAAGTGGAAAAATGGAAGTGCAGTTCTTTGTAGAAGGTAAAGCCCATCATTTTAAAATGATAGCATTTATTAATCCAAGTAACCAGTTTTCACACAGTTTCAATAACAGCAGCAATTTCCTTGAACTGTCTGTAGAAATTCTAGAAAGAAAAAGGAAAAACATTAATTTTGCTTTTTGAGGATAAAGTTCTTTATATTGACCAGGTGCTATGTATTTTTATACCCCACTGTTTTCATGCTACATCCTTAACTTCTGAAAGTTGCTATGAGAAACAAAGAGGTGCTATTTGGTACTATGAACAAAAATAGTACTGCAGGACCAGGTAATAAGCACATGAGTAAACTTTTTCAAGCACATGAGAAAATTTATTTTTAACATAACAGCAGAATCACCAGTTCTGGACATTGTAAGCTACATGAAAGAATTCACACTGGAGAGAAACCATATGTATGTGAGCAATGTGGGAAAGCTTTTAAAACACAGAGAGATTGTAAGAAACATGAAAGAATTCACACTGGAGAGAAACTCTATGTATGTAAGTAATGTGGGAAAGGTTTTACCAATTCTGGACATTGTAAGCAACATGAAAGAATTCACACTGAAGAGAAAACATATATGTAAGCAATGTGGGAAAGCTTTTCCACACATGGATATTGTAAGAAACATGAAAGAATTCACACTGGAGAGAAACCATATGTATGTAAGCAATGTGGGAAAGCTTTTACCACATGGGGAGATTGTAAGATACATGAAAGTATTCACACTGGAGAGAAACCATATGTATGTAAGCAATGTGGGAAAGCTTTTAGCACATGGGAAGATTGTAAGAAACATGAAAGAATTCACACTGGAGAGAAACTCTATATATGTAAGTAATGTGGGAAAGCTTTTAAAATGCAGTGAGATTGTAAGAAATATGAAAGAATGCACACTGTATGTAAGCAATGTGGGAAAGTTTTTACCCTACATGGCCATTGTAAGCAACATGAAAGTTCACACTCAAGATAAATCTAGTGTATATAAGAGTCGTGAGAATGGTTTGCACACACGTACATATTGCATAATGCATGTAACTCTTCACACTGGGCAGAAAACTTATATATGTAAGGAATGTGGGGAAGGTTTCAGCAGAAATGCTCAATGTCCAATACATTATAAAATTTACACTGTTGAGAAACCCTGTGTATGGGAAGAATGTGGGAAAGTTTTCACCACACATGGATATTGTAAAATACGTCAAATGACTTCACACTGGTGAGAAACCCTATTTATATAACAGTGTGGCAAATCTTTTACCACATACAGTCATTGCAAAACACATGAAAGAATTCACACTGGGAAGAACCACTGGCTATGTAAGAGAGTGGAGACACTTTCAGCAGCCAGATTGTAAGTGAAATACATGAAAAAACTCACACAAGAGATAAATCCTATGTGTTATGGGAATACTCCCATCATACTTGATCATTGTTACATATCTGAAAGAGCTCACTGGGCAGAGATCCTATGTGGATTAACAATGTGAGAAATATGGCAATCCATGTTTCTTGTTAAATACATAGAAAAAGTCACTGTTCAGACAGTTTAGATCTAAGTTTACTTTCAAAATCGCAAGGAGACCTAAGAAATAATCAATACAGAAGTTAGATGTCAATATTTCTTCACAAATATTCCAGAAATGACAAATCTGAGGTGGTGGAGCTCTACTCAAGTGCACATGTTGTATGATTTTCAGTTAATCACTTGTACCTCTCTAGATTTTTTAAAGTGTCTTTGTGCTTCAACATGGCATCTTGTAATTAAACATGTTAAACTGAAATGGACTTTTCACTTTCAAGTATGAATAGTGTCTATGTACTTAATAATTTTTCTTTAAAACTTAAATTGTATATTTTTTGGTGAATTGTAATGTTGTTTATTTAAAGAGAAAAAAGAAAAAGTATAGAAATAATACAGAATTTCAGAAAAATAAACAATAAGAAATCAAAAAAAAAAAAAAAAAAAAAACCAAAACATAACAGCAGAAGTCAAGTGTTTACTACCACCTGTAACTTCAGCACTCTAGGAGGCCAAGGCAGGTGGATAGCAAGTTGAGCTGATCTTGAGCAAGTCAGTCTCAGTGAGACCCCATCTCAAAATTATAAAAAATGTGCTGGTGATACAGCTCAGTTTGAAAGCCTTGGGTTCAACCCCCAGTCGAAACAAACAAAGGCAACAGAAGAATAGAATAGTGCCTATCAGAAACTCAGAATAGGAAAATGGGGAAATGTTGGTCAAAAGGTACAAACTTTCAGCTATAAAAGTTCCAAGAATCGAAGAACAGTATGGTGATTGTAATTAACAGTGTATTGCTTATTTGAAATTGCTGAATGCTGGGCATGGTGGCACACGCTTGTAATCCCAGCACTCTGGAGGCTGAGGCAGGAAAATCTTTCAAGTTCAAGACCAGCCTGGGCTACAATGTGAGCTGAAGGCCAGCCTGAACTATATATAGCAAGAGACTGTCTCACAAAAGACTAAATAAATTTAATAAAATAAATTTCTGAACGATTTTTAAGTGTCCTTATCTCACACATGTTAACTATGTGTGATAATAGATGTATTAGTTTGATGTAGTAATCATAACATATACTTTCATATAATCATCTCATTGTACACTTTGAAAGTATAGAATTTTTGTCAATTACACCTCAATAAGGCTGGGGAAAATAAGACTGTCCATGTCTATTTTTTCCTACAAGAAAAAACTTTTTCTAGAGGTGGAAATCAGAAAGCATGAATACTGCACAGAAAGGTAAGAATTAGACTAGCAGCTTTAAATGTAAAAAAAAAAAAGAACTGAAACCCATATCCTGTTTATAAAGTGATTTAGCAAGTAAAGGCTATTTATATATTACAACATACTATGTTTATTCCTTTTTCCTGGAGTTCTAATTCCTTCCAGAAAAACCTAATCAACATTAGTATTATTTTTGTGGTCATTATTTTTGTTTTAAAGATGTTTTAAAATAAAGAAATCAAAGGGAAAGAAATCCCTTAAAATGTGGCATTCAAATACTGATTTATTATAGTGGTATATGAGTGGTATAGTTAATATAGTGGTATATGAGAGGCTTTTTTTTCATTTTTTAATTTATTTTATTATTATTTTTTTTATTGGTACCTGGGATCGAACTCACGACTGCCCGCTTGCAAGGCAGGCGCTTACGCCGCTGAGCTAAATCCCCAGCTCCCGAGAGGCTTTTTTTTAAAAAAAGGGAGCTGAATTATGTTTTCAGTTAAGTTTTACAATTAACTAGCTTTTTATTTTCATTTTATTCATGACGTTTCCATTTATTAGAACACTCAACTTCTCTCTGAGTACTAACTGACGCTAAGAATTCCTTTCTACTCAGACTGAGAGGTTTAAAACTAACAACAAAATCTGTTAAATTAGTTAATAACAGCACACTTTCTGGGATGTACATTCAAAAGAAAATCCAATTTACTCCCTACTTTTTTTACTTTTCTTGATTACAAAAAAGTGGTAAAATCATAGTATAAGTGAAAGAGTTGCTGGCCCAGACCAAACACTGTAACCAGGAAAGGCTGCAGCTAAGTTAGAAACTCCTGCCTCCCCCCGCCCCCTATAGACTTGACTGTAACCCTATAGCCGCTCCCTAGGAACCTGCTTTCTGGCGCTAAACCTGTGTGCCAATGAAATACCGGTACATCTCTAATGGCCTTAGGGCACTGCCCTAAGCTTAGGCCATTTATATTCCCCCACGCCACGTGTCCCAGAGAGAGAGATCGCCAGAGAGAGAGAGAGATCCCCGAATTCTAGCAGCCAGCACGCCAGTCTCCTCTCCTCGTGTTAACCACGGCCTGGGTGCAGTGGAGAGGCTGCGCCCGGGCCGGCAGAGGGGGACCTCTCCTGGCATTCCCGAAATAAAGTCACCACTGCCCACTACTTTCACGGCCATCCACTCCATTCCTCCCACGGACTTCTTCCTCCTCGGACCTCCACCTCTCTCTCTCCCTCTCTTCCTTTTCTCCTCCTCTCCCTTCTCTCAGACCTAACAATAAGTAACTCTAAATATGAACTACTGAGTTGTTTAAATCTCTAACTAATAAAACAAACAGGTAGAGTTGCTCTGATCTGCAGTTTGTAAACAGTATTTAGAAAACATTGTCAACATTACTGAAAGAAAAGATTCAGTTAGGTGATCTGTGTTGATTACACCTAAAGGAAAAATAGGTTAAATGCAATATTCTGCCAGAGAAGATGAAAATATTCTCACAGACAACTGTTAATGCAAACACACACCACAGTACACAAATTCTTACTGTACTGAAAATAAAACAAATTTAGATTTTTTGTGCGTACAAACACATATAAAACACAATCATCTGCAAGTACAAATAACAAATATTTTCCTTTGAAAAGATTTTATGCAGTTTTCCTAGAAGTATTAAAAGTATACTAAAATTCAATGAGTTAAACTACAAACCTGAAACTGTGGAACTGTCATTTCAAAAGATATGTTCTTTACTTGACCTGAATGATCTGCCACTTTTAGCATCACTGTGACATAAGGATATTTAAGAGATCTGCAACTGTCCGAGCTCACAGCCATACCCAGTTTCCACTGAAAATCTATAAGCTTTAATAAAACAGTACAAAACAAAACGTTAGTAGTTTCATTGCCTTGAATGCAAATACGTATTTGACTTTACTGCTCTTACACTTGACTTTAGTTCATTCCTGGTCATGATAAAGAAAATATCTCCACTTAATTTATATATGCGTGTATATTTAATAGAGAGTCAGATATATAATGAAGTAGAAGGGTGACTACTGTTTTTAACAGGCTTAAATTTTGCTCTGGCACTTCAGAGGACTCCAAATGCTTTGGAATGTCCCTTATCTCACCTTCCTGTTCACATGTCTTTCCCCATTCCACAACCCAAGTACTGGAACAGAAGATGGGTTAAGTGATAGTCATAATTGGTTGAGGCACAGGAAAGAACCATTCTAGTTTCTTTACTCACCATGGACCTCAAGCTCAACCTTTATATTAGCCGAAGGTGGTTTTAGATTTCATCACTCTTCATGATGCATGCATGTCAGGTGATGTGTTACACAGTTTACATGCATTAAATGCCTCCCTGAATTGTCATCACATTATAGGTTATTATTTCCATTTTGTAGATGACAAATCTCAATGTCAGAGTTAAGGTAATATGCACAAGGTCACACATTTCTGGAATGCGAATAAAAGCCAAAGTCTGTTTAACTCCAAAGAACATAAGGTTACTTCAATACTTCTCAGTTTCTGTGAGTGATTGTTCATTGCTGCCTTGGCATAAAACAGGATTTGATAAATGCAGCTCTTCTAAAACGTAAGACTGTAGGTACAAGAATTCTCTCTTATTTCCAAAACTTAAGGAGGTATCTGGTACACAGCAGGCACTTAAAAAAATACTTAGTGATTGAAAGATACCTTTTGGAAGGTATCTTCCAGTCGAAAATCAAACTGTTACCTTGTGATCTCATTTTTTGACAGGTTTAAGAATTGCTGATTTTTCAGTTTGTTCAATTTTTGTTAGGACAAAGCAAAAACTTCTAAATATCTTCTAACCTGGACCAGAAACTAGAAATTTACTGTTTTTTATAATTTTCTTCATAAATGTTTAAAACATCGTAGATTTATTAAAAGATAGATTGTAATTTATTTCTTAATGTTGTACAATCTTGTTTAAAATAATATATTTCAACTCTGTTTGAACTACAGAAAAACAATTCAAAATATTTACAGCAATTTTGTCAAATAAAACCATTATGGTGTGTCCTCATGCACTTTATTTATCAGATCTGGCATAATGCAATTTTTCACTCTTTCCAAAAAGCAGCGTGATCATAAAAGAAAAACACTTTCAGGACATCCAGGCAGCCATAAATAGCACAATGAAAGACAGAATTCCTTCAGAAGATAGCAAGAAAGATGGGATAAGTATTCCTGCAAAAAATGTTCTGAGGGAGATAAATGGCAATGTCTTTTACTTTAACAAATTTTAAAAATCTAAACATTCACTGTATTTTGTGATTGTACCCTGTAAGTAAACAGACAAAATGATTTATGAGTCTGAATAAAAATGCACTAATTCATGGAGCTTTGGGCAAAGTGGTTGACTGCTATCTGGGTTCCCCTTTCTCCCAGAATCCTCAAAGCAGCAGCAAGATGAGTTTGAAGACACATAGAAATCAATGGGCACCTCTCTCGGCCTCTGTATTCCTATTTTTATCTCAGTACTTTCTTACTCCTGACCTAAAATATATTTAGAAATTCTAGTTTTAAGTACCTAAAAATAGTTGCAGAAATTCTTTAAACTAGAAACTAAGATATACTTAATGAAGTGAAATTTTTAGTCATACCATAAAAAGTTTATTGTCTGCAAGGTTAAAAAGGTATACTCCATCTTTAAGACAACTTTTTTTAAAGAGCAAGAAAAGTCTGCAGTGCTATCTCTATAAATTTTAATAATTCCTTATATTTCCATTGCATTCAAAAATAATGTTTTCTCATCTTCTAATGAAAGGTAGACCTAATCAAGGAAAAACAATTTAGTCTGTACTTTTGGGGCTGGAGATGAAATTACAGTGGCAGTGACCATCTGCGGTCAAAAAGGTAATACAGTGTAATACAGGTAAAAAGTGTAATACAGTGATGAGGGCTGAAAGTCAAGGGCTCGCAGACACAGCTAATGAAACGTGAAAGCTAGAGAAGACTCACAATGGCATCTCTAGCTGAGAGGGGCGGGCCGGGTGCTGCCGGCCGCCGGAGTCTACTGGCGGTGATGTAGGGACAGGGCGGGGCGGTCTCTGACTCACCTGGCTGGTGACCTGAAATACAAGCAGAAAGCACAATTTAGGGAAAGAGTGAGAGCCCCAATGCCCTCTTTCCTTCTCCACTGGGACTCACCTCAGATTTAGCATCCAGCACAGGCTCCCTAGAGCCAGACCCCTCCATGGCACTAGTCCAGGGTCACTGCACGGACTTTAGCGGAGCCTCCGCCCGGACAAACGCTTCCGCTTCTGCTTCCATTTCCGGCCTCTGGTGGCCCGGCGCCCGCCACTAATGTGGGGGCAGAAAGAATACAAATAGCTTTGTGTACCTCAGATTTTGCCTCAATTATACATCAGTTCTAAAGCGATACTCAGTGCCAGTGAGAATAATGTAGGAGAAAAATCAGAAAGCTTGGAGGATACCTTGCGAAGAGAAGGAATAGTTAAATTCATTACGCTGCCTCCCCTATTTTAAACTGTGCAAGTGGCGCTTCCAGTTTGGAGGCCAAGGCTCTGCGCAAGCGCAAATGTGTGGCGCTAGGAATTGAGCGTTCTAGCAAATTTGAAAACGATTGGACAACCGCAGCTGCTCCTGGGGATTTTATCCTGCGAGGCAGATGCCTCTGAGAGCTATAGCTACAAACTGTCCTTACTGGGATTTACCTCACTGACCTAACTGTGTGTGGGGAGGAAGGGAAAGGAAATGCCTTGTCTCCGTTGACACTATCTTAACTCCAATCTTAAATCTAACGACGGCAATATCTTCTCAGCCTTTTCGCTTACTTACCTCCACTGCATTCCACACAGAATAGAGTGGCTTTTTGCACTGTCAACTTTTTATTTTGAAAAATCTGAAAATCTTTTCAGAGAAGTTGCAAATATAGCTAAATGAACATCTGTATTCCCTTCATAAAGATTGAAGAACTGTCTATAGACAGTTTACACTTTTTTTTCATTGTATTTTTTTTCATTTCATGTTACATACATGGTAACTAGGAAACTTCATTTCTTAATACTTGACTATGTATCCTATCCTCTAAGAACCGCTCCTAAATAGCCACAGATCAGGACACTTAACTGATAAAACACAACTATCTAATACTTAGTATAAATTAAAATTTACCATTCTTTTCTACAATACTCTTGACAATTCTCTGCCCTGCTTAAAACCCGAATCTAATCATGGTCTGTGGTTCAATTTCGTGATGGTATCTCCTTAGTCCCTAGAGTTGCACTGGTGAGGTCTTAGCAAAAAGATTCCCCTCACTTGGGGCTCCAGACTCAGGGCATCTGGATGACAGTGGGGTTACATTTTTAGACTCATTCAGATAGTTGGCAGAATTCAGGTCTGTGCAGTTTCTTTTTCCTTACCGGTTTTACATGCAGATTGTCAGCTTCTAGAGACCATCCATATCCTTCTCTTGTCCTCCCTACCTCCATTTTAAAAGCCAATGATGGCAGAGTACATCTTCCACTTGCTTTCCGATCTCTACTTCTGTATTGTTTTTCCTCTGCCTTCTTTTACCAAAACTCTGTTTTAACGGTTCAGATGGTCAGATGAGGTATACTCAAACAATCCAGAAAAACTTCCCTATGTTAAGATGCATGATTTTAATTACATTTGCAAAGTCCCTACAGAGAAGTCCCTGCATTATAGTGTTTTGTTGTAAAATCAGGCAAAAAGAATCTTTCAGGGTCGAGGAATTCTAGAATTCTGTCTAGCATGAACACCTTCCATAGAACTGTTGGAGAATTAGATTGGGCTGTGTAAAACACCTAGACCTGCCCCTGGGGCAGCAGTTGGGCATGTAGAATCTAGTCCTCAAAAAGCCACTCAAGGAGACTGAAGCTGTTTAAATGTACCAATTAGCTTGAAAACAGTTCTTGGACAAATCAAATGTTTTCTTGGCTATGGAAAGCTGATTAAAAGATACGATACTATTGTGTTGTGCATACAGTTGGTATGTGCACCCATCAGTTCTGTTTTTTTGTAAGGTCATTCATGTTAACTTTGTTGCTATTATACTTATGCTGTGCATGAAAGCGGGCATGCTCACACACACAGACAGACACACACACGCGCACACACACACACACACACACACACACACGGGATTTGTAAAAATGCACTAAAATGATGACATAGTTTTAAATTAATTTTTATGATTTCTATATTTTTATAAATCTTTTCAAAACTTTATCATTATTCAGTGTTAGTGCCTCTTTTCAAAAATCTGTCAATTGAATTTAAGAGTAGTAAGGTATCTGTGGCATTTAGAGAAATTTTTGCCAATTTTTAACTCTTGTTCTTATGTTCCTGATGGTCTTGTAACACATGTGATATTCGGCTTAAGTCCTCTATCTTTTTTTAAATTTTTTTTCTTTTAAAGAGATTAAGACAAAAGAGGACATGCAAAAGCAGATCATAACAGAACAATGTAAGCATTTCACCACATAGTAAGTACTTCACCACAAGACAACTTGATATGAACTGTAGCTACCATAATGTCTCTTTCCTTGAAGTAGCTGAACATACCTTCACATACAATAGTAACAAACATAACAAAATAGTATAAAACCATTCAAGAGAATGAAAGTATTACAGGGCATTCAGAACCAAATAACAGAAAACAAACAATGGCTACTATATCATATCATTTTCCATTAAAAATTTTGTTTACACTATCACACATAATAAAATCCAATAAGATACAACATGATAGAACCAATGCAAACAGAAACAAAAGCATGGTAGGACTTCAAAGAAAGATGATATTAAATCAGCAATGGCTATTATGTCTTGGTTTCTTCAAAATAGCTGTTCATACTATCACAGATAACAAAATCAAACAAATCAGAATAAAACCATTCCAACTAATGAATGTAAACATTATAAGGCTTCAAAGCAAGGTAATGGGGAATCATGATTACCATAAAATCTTATGTACTCTTACCATTTATTACACTAGGGAGACTATATGGTATTTATACATGTGAGTTTGATTTATTTTGCTTATTAGTATGGTCTCAAGCTGCGTCCATTTATTTAAAAATATCTCTATGTGATCATTATTTATAGCTGAGTAGTACTCCATTGTAAAAAATACCACAACTTTTTTATCCCTTCGTCAGTTGATGGACACTTAGGTTGTTTCCAAGAAATGGCTAATACAAATTGTGGTGCTATAAACATGGGTGCACATATACCACTGTGGTATGATGCTTTCAGTTTTTCTGGGAATATGCCTAGAAGTGGAATAGCTGGAACAAATGGGACTTCCAATCCCAGGTTTTTGAGAAATCTCCAGACTGACCTCCACAATGGTTGCACTAGTCTACACTCCCATCAACAGTGTAGGAGAGTTCCTTTTTCCCCACAGACTCTCCAGCATTTGTTGTTGTTGGTTTCCTTGATCCTGGCCATTCTTTCAGGAGTGAGATGGGATCTCAGGGTGGTTTTAATTTGCATTTCTCTAATGCCTAATGATTATGAACATTTTTTCATGTATTTATTTGCCATTTGTATTTCTTCATCTGAGAACTGTATTCATCTCAGATGTCCAGTTTTGGATTGGGTATTTGAAATTTGAGGGTCTGATTTTTTAAATTCCTTATATGTTTTAGACAGAAGTTCTTTGTCTGAGGGACACTTCACTAAGATTTTTTTTTCCCAGTTTGTGGGTTTTCTTTTCACTATGCTGGAGATTTCTTTTGACATGCAGAAACTTTTTAATAAGTCGTGATCCCAGTTATTGATTCTGGGAAGTATTTCCCACGTGGTTTGATTCCTATCAGTGAATACTCTACCTACCCCTATGTCTTTCCAACAGATTTAGTGATCTGTTTTAATATTCAGATCTTTTTTTTTGTCTTTTTCTTTTTTATCGGTAGCAGGGATCAAACTCACGACCACACACTTGCAAGGCAGGCACTTAGGCCACTGAGCTAAATCCCCAACCCCTAATATTCAGATCTTTGAGTCATTTAGATTTTAGTTTAGTACATGGTGATAGGCATGGGTCTAGTTTTAGTTTTCAGCATATAGAGAGCCAGTTTTTCCAGCACCATTTATTAAAGAGACTGTCATTCTTCCAGTGAACATGTTTGGGACCTTTATCAAAGATAAGGTGGTTGAGTGTGTTTGTAGTTGTGGTTGTATCTTCTAATCTATTCCATTGATCTTCAGATCTGTTTTTATTCCAGTACCATGTTGATTTTATTACAGTAGCTTGGTAGTATAACCTCAAGTCAGGGATTGTGATGCCTTGTGTCTTGTCTTTGCTACTTAGAATTGCCTTTACTATTCTAGGTCTCTTCTGGTTCCAGATACATTTTAAGAGTGATTTCTCTAGATGTATGAGGTATGTTGATGGTATTTTCATTTGGATTGGATTGAATCTGTATAACAGTTTTGGGAGAATGGCCATTTTCACAATATTTATTCTTCCTCTCCATGAACAGAGGATGTCTTTCCATTTTCTGAGATCATCTTCAAATTCTTTTTCAGGGTATTATAATTTTCCCTGTATAGATCTTTTACTTCTTTCATGAGATTAATTCCTAAGTATTTCATTTTTTTGGATGCTAGAGTGAAGGATATGGCTTCTCTTATTTCTCTCCCAGTGATTTTGTTCTTAGTGTATAGGGATGCTATTGAATTTTGAGTACTGATTTTGTATTCAGTTACATTGCTGAATTTATTTATTATATTTAGGAGTCTTTCAATGGAGTTTTGGGGCTCTTCTATGTAGAGTATCATGTCATCTGCAAATATTGATAATTTAACTTCCTCTTTTCCTAGCTTTACTCCTTTTATTTGTCTCTTTTGTTTAATTTCTCTGACTAGTATTTCCAGTACTATGTTTAATAGGAGCAGTTATAAGGGACATCTTTGTCTTGTGCCTGATTTTAAGGTAAAGGCCTTCAGTTTTTGGCCATTTAGTAGGATTCTGGCTGTTGGTTTGTTGGCCTTTATCATATTGAGATAAAGACCATCTATTTCAATTTTGTGTAAGATTCTTATCATGAATTAGTTTTGGACCTTATCAAAAGTTTTTCTGCATGTATTGAAATGATCATGTGATTCTTACTCTTAGCTTTATTGATATGGTGGATTAGATTTATTGATTTACATATGTTAAACCATCCCTGCATGCCTGGGATGAATCCCACTTGGTCATGGTGTATAATCTTCTTGATGATTTGCTGCATCCTGTTTGCCAATATTTTATTGAGGATTTTTGCATCTGTGTTCATTAGGGAGATTGGCCTGTAGTTGGGTT